CAGTTCTCACATCTGTTCATGGTGATGGGGAATACAATGACTTGGGAGCTTATCACACTGCTAAAAAACCTGGCTTACCTCTCCAGAGTTGAATTTTAATTCGGGAGGCAGCCAGGTCCTATCGCACACATTTTGCCACTGAATCCGCTGGCGGAGTCCAGTCCGGTTGCAGCTTGGTGCCAGGAGTGCTCAGCAAGCCACTTTTCAAAGTCAGAAAACTCCTGACTTTGAAAAGCATCTGGAGAAGCACTTCTGGGACCTGGGCTGCAGCCGGACTGGACTCTGCTGGTGGATTCAGCAGCAAAATGTGTGTGATAGGACCCAGCTGGCTCCTGAATTAAAATTCAGCTTGGGAAAGGTAAGCCAGGGTTTTTAGTGGTGTGATAAGTTCCTTGGATGATCCTCACTTTAGTGTTCAGTTATATCTTTCCACTTTATGATCTTGTCCAGTTCTTTCATATCTGCCCTTTCCAATCTTAGTCTTCTGATTTCTTGACTATAATCTTTAGTCTGATCAATATTTGTATGGTAAAGTATGAGAACTTTGACTATTTCAATTTTCTTGTTGTCCAGGGTGAATTCTTCCATAGATCTTCCATGGTCATTTGTTCAGCATTAAATCAACCCTGGCACTTTCCTCCTTGACTTTCTTTAGTAATTGCTCCAGGTCTTTGTTTAAGATAGTAGTATTGTGTCATCTGCATATCTTAGGTTGTTAATGTTGCTTTCTCCTAGCTTCACACTTTGTGCTCTGAGTCTAAGCTTGCTCTGGGTATGATATTTTCTGCATACAATTGAATAAATAGGATGATCGTATGAAGCCTTGCTTGACCCTGGAGACCAGGTTTCACATCCCCAATCAGCCATGAAAACCCACTGGGTGACTTTGGCCAAGTCATACTCTCTCATTTTCAAAGGAAGGCAAAAGGAAATTCCCCCTGAATAAATCCTTCCAAGAAAACTCCATGGTAGGTTCACCTTAGCTTTACCATAAGTCAGAAATGATTTGAAGGCACACAACAAAAGCATGTTTAGCAGTGGGATGGATTTTGTTGTAAGATGTGTAGAAACCATCTAAGCAAACTTGCAGATGTTTAAATGTTACAAAGTGTATCAGAAAAACACACCATTGTTCATGGTAAATAGCAGACTACCTTCCGTTATGGGTGTCCAGTTGACTCCCAAGATATTTGGCTGTTCAATAACCAATTGACTGCCAATGGTTAACAGCATGAAGGCAGGGCCTTCTGAGTGGTGGTTCAGAAAGCAGAAATTGGAGCACTATTTAAAAGTATTTTGAAACATATTTATCTATGAAAGCCTCCTCTGGCCAGTAATGATTGCTTCCCTGGCCTTGTTTTTGTAATGGCTTTTAAAGGGTTTTAAATTATTTTATTATTTTAAATTTGCTATTAAATTGTTTTGTATTGTTCTACATGCATGTGTGTGCATTTGTGTGTAAATCACTTAGTGATTTAAATATCTCCATCAATGTATAATAATCTATGGAGTGTCCTGTTTACATTATTACATTATTACACTTCTTAATATATAGGTTGTAAAATATACAGGATTTTTTTCTTTTTAGTTTTTTTAAAAAATGGGGAAAAAGAATTGTGATTAACTCTCTGTAACTAATGCTTTTCTAATCAGGCGTTAGGCTGGGATAAGTACATTGTCTAATGTTATACAATAAGGCACCTAGTACCTCCTTTTGCATTTTTCTTTGCCAGGTTGCCATTTAAGTATTGCTTACTTCTGAATCTTCAGTTCATGAAATGGCAATGAGTTAGCATGTCAGAAACATAATCCTGGGATCACAAAATGTCACTGAAGCAGGTCAAGCATGAAGTGTTCTGTGGTAAAGCACTAATGCTGATGAAAAATGTAGTAAAATGCAACAGTAACTTGTGAAAAATCCATGCAACAGTTAAACAGTTGTGTTTAAACCCAGCTCATGATCTGCAAGAGTTAGAAGCATTAAAAGTAATACCGGTTTAATGCAACACTTCTCATGCTATGCCTTCTCTTGAACCCCATCCCCTCATTTGCTTTGTTTTCTTACTTTGGCTGCTCTTCCTTCAAATATCTCTCTGCAGTCATGAGGACTAGAGGCATGATGTTTTAACAATAATTACTCATGGATGCTGCAGCTATATGCCTCCCACCCCTGGTGGGTATCTCTAAACTTCTTAAGGCACCACGTGCACAGTTTAGACCTGCAGCCCACTTAGGTCAACATACTGGGTTTTAAAGATGGTTTTGGTGCTGTTAATTTCAAAGGCATTAAATGAGCTTAAATCCAAGTACTTTTGTCTCCATTTGGTTGTGGATCGGGTTGCAAGAAACACACTCTGTATTCTGCAAGGATTTCCAAGGCTCCGGTGAAGGTATACTGAGCAGAACTGTTTATGTGCATGTTCAAAGCAAAGGAAGTTTGAATCTCCTACAATATAATTAAAATGTGTATTTTAGTGATAACTGAATCAGAAATAAACACAAAGCAAATAGGGGAGGGTGGGGAGGAAGGAGGTGGAAAACGCACCCACTGCCGATGTGCTTAGAATTAATTGTGCTAGGTAAAGCACACAATGTCAGAGGAGATAGAAAAATTTCTCATATGCCCCGGAGAGATCACCTCTGCCTGTTTGATAGTCTGGTGCCATTGAGGACTTTGACCCCCAGTTTGAAAGGGGAAAAGGATACACTGGAGTGTAAAAGAAAGAAAGAAAGAAAGAAAGAAAGAAAGAAAGAAAGAAAGAAAGAAAGACACCACTAACGCTCCACAGTCCAAAAAGGCAAATAATTTATGCGTTCAGCTCTCTTTTTTGTTCTAGGTTTTGATTTCTAAACTTAGACGTGCTGCCCACAAAAAAATTACTTTAGGGGATTAGTGATTGATTTTTCTTTCTCGCTGCATTTCTTACTTTTTCTTCATCCCCTCTCTGCTTTTCTCTGGTCTCTGCCCCCCTCCCCACTGGTGGGCTCAGAAACTGAATGCTTGAACTTCTAGAAGAGGCTTAGAGGCAACTTTGTAAGGAAGCAACAGCCAGCTGCAGAAAGATCCTTTTCTACGGTAGTAGGGTTTCCAGATTTCAGGGCCTAAACCTTGTCCTTAGGGTCAGGAGAAGACTCTCAGGGTGAAAGTGCTTTTTGTAAAGTGATAGAATCACAAAGTTGGAAAGGATGATAAGGGTGATCTAGTCCAATAACTTGTCTTGCAGGAATGTACAACTAAAGCATTCCCAAAAGATGTCTACCCAACCTTTGTTTTAGAGGCCTTTAAAGAAGAGATCACTACCCTCCAATACAGTCTATTCCCACAGTTGAACAGTTCTTACAGTCAAGTTTAGGCAAAATCTCTTTTCTTGCAATTTTAATCCATTGGTTCATGTTCTAGTCTCTACAGCAGCAGAAACATTGCTGCATTTGCCATATGACATCTTTTTTGATATTTAAGGATGGCTATCAAGCCACCTCTCAGGCTTCTCTCCTCCATCCTAAGCATATGTAGCTCCCTATGCCATTTCCTATACCATCCTTTTTGAACAGTAGTGCTCCAAACTGGCTACAGTATTCCAGGAGAGATCTAACTAAAGCAGAAAAGAGTACTATAGTGACTTTCCTTGATCTTTATGATGTTGATGCAGCATAAAATTGCATTGGCTTTTTGTGTACTTCACACATTTTTTTAAAAAAACAACACTGTCTGTCTATCTGTCTGTTTGTCCGTCTATGGGTCTAAATACCCTAAAGGCAGCAGATCCTGTCTGATCAAGTAGGGTCAGCCCTAGTTAGTACTAGGATGGGAAACTGTCAATTAATACTGTAAGGTACATTTCAGATGAAGGAGCTGGCAAAACCAGCTCTAGGTATTCCCTGCTTAAGAAAACTCTATAAAAATTCATGGTGTTACCATATGTCAATAGGTGACTTGAAGGCACACACACACACACACACACACACACACACACACACACACGTGGGAGCTGTACAGACCACTCGAAAGGGGTGGTGGCAAGCAGCCCCTTTGATTGCCAGATCAGGGCTGTGGCAACCGCATGCCGCGGCACTGATCTGGTGCTTTGCTATTCTAAAAAGCGCTGGTAAAATGCTGCTCTTTTTTAGAGCGGCAAAAAGCTACCCTTGCTGCTGCTGCCACGACAGCTGTTTGGTGCTCCTTTGGAGCAGCGTGTGTGGATGCTGCACCAAGGGAGCACCCTGATACCTCCTGCCATGTGTGAAGATGATGTTGAGGCAGAGTTGGGGTGGCCAGCGTGTGGTCACCATGCCCCCACTCTGTCCCCAGGCTGGCTCTTTATGCCGGTCTGTTCAGCCCCACACTTAACAAATGTTTGTTAAATGTGTGTGTGCCAAACGTTTCAGCTTCTGCCTTCTTCAGTTGCTAAAAATGTAGTAGTATAGAAGGTGGCAGTACTACAAAAGTATAGTAGATGGCAGTTTAGAACATTGTTATCAGAATTATTAATCAACAATGATATTGCCCTTTAAGTTGTGGCCATGTGGTGTCTGACTTTTTAGTCTATAAATCCAACAATTCTCACTTTTTTTCAAAATATTTGAAAGAGAAGGCACATCTGTGCCAAACAAGGACAAATCATAGTGGCTATATTTATATTTATTGAAGCGATCAACAGATAGACTCTCTCTCTCTCTCTCTCTCTCTCTCT